GGACGGTGTCATACTAGGGGGATTAGCTCAAAAATGCTAAGTCCTACATACTCTGGATTAAGGGACGGATTAACTACAAAAGTTAAGTTCTACTTATATTTTGTGTTAGATTAATAAATAATTGAGTGGCACTTTGGTTTGGAAAGGAATTTAAATATATTTTTATGATGCCACGATATGAGCCTGAGACTCAGAGTCGTTGGTTAAGGAGCGTATATGCATTGGGATGCATAACTGGCTATGATGGTTGGATGTGTACCCTACTAGGGCTAGGTAGTCATGCCCACCTTTGGGTGCATTTTCGCATGGTGCCTACTAGTCAGGTTGAGACAGGCCTGTAGTCTAGTGAGAGTCCTGTGGTGTGATTATACATAAATATTTATCTACGGACTATTAGCTATTGTTGGATTGGTTAGGATGTACATGCGTATCGGGTCTCTGCTTGGGTAGTAGTAGTATAGAACTTGCATGTGGGCCTGACCCACTCATCATTTTTCAGGTATCGGACATTTCCAGTCTAGAGCTTGTTCGTGCTGAGCAGAGACGATCTTCCATTTTACCGATGACGTAGGACTTCTTTCCAAATATTAGATTTGGATTTTATTTTCAGTTTTTACTTTCATTTAGTTTGGGATTTTTATTAGGGGTCCTCTAGAGATGGATTCCCGAGTTGTTAAACTGATGGAGTTTTGGATTATTAGATTCTAAGTATTTAATTATAAAGGATTTTACTTTTAGTTTCTTCCAGCTTAAACTTTATTTCTTAACTTCATTTTGTCATTTGTGTTCGATTAAATATTAATGTTTGATATCCTTCGGATCTGTGCTCGGACTTGATCACCCGTGGCTCTAGAATCGAGGGGTATCACACAATGCCCTACTCTTTAAGTATGTATTGAAAATACTACTATTTACACTCTCCTTATCATTCTCCTATTAAAACTCACCACCTTAGTCTAATCTTAAAACCATATCTTTATACCAACTACTTTCAACTTTAGTCTAGTAGGATTTACACACATCAAGTGCTTCGGACTTCTGGTGGATTAAGTACATAATCATACCTTGAGAACCAATCAATGAAGACAATGAAATACCTTTGCTGCAAACGAGCTACAATAAGAAATGGACCATAAATGTTGGTATAAATATAGTCTAAAAACCAAATGACCGACTAGCCTCAAAATTGCGTTTCTTAGCATTTGTCCTTTGACACAACCAACGCATAAAATTTGTGGCCTAATAATCTCATCCTTGACCAAGCGTTCAAATCTCTTTTGAGAGACATTCTCTAATATCCTATGCATAACATAGATGAATCTTCTCTGACCAAAACACGATTTTATTCGGATGGTATCGAGTCATGCCAGATGCATCGTGGCTACATTTGAGGGTTGATGTCTGATTGTGGAAGAAGATTAAGGAAGTTACAAGGAACAATTCTTTTTTTCTTTTCAGTGCTATTCTGATAAATAACATTGTTCCTTTGATTCTTTAATGTAATGTAACATATCACTTTCCGTCCAGCCAATCTTTTCACATCCACGTTCAAAACATTAATGATGGTGATAAGTGGAACCCATTCTTCTTTTGCCGCCTAGTGTAGAAATTTTGCATAATATAAAACAATGTGTTTTCAACCAACAAGAATTTATAAAACAAACAAATAAAACAGCTTGACATAATTTGGGTGGGTGGATGAATAATATAAAACAAAAACTGGGAGTCTGGGACCCTTTTTTTTTTTTTTTTCGGAAAGTAGTGGTAGTGGAATTATGTTGCACGAAATGATGGCCAATTGTAGGCCATACAAAAGCTTTGCGTTTACATTCAAAACAATACTAGTAATGATAAATAAGTGTAGGTTCTCATCATTTTCATTTGTAACCACTCAAACATAATAGCAACTCATCACAGCGTACTGTCACGGGCTTAGAGTTTCAGTACCACTCTAGCTGCTCCCGTGCGGCACCAAGACGTTGCTTCCACTCTCGCAAGTACTTGGTCAGCCTAACTCCCGTGCACACCTTAGCCAACACACTCCCCTCGTGCGCTTACTAGTGTTGTAGTTGCCCTCGCCCTCTCCTCACTCGGCTTGCACACTCACACACACTAAGGCACTTAAGTTGGCAAGGAAAGAACACTTCTATTACTTCAAAGAATGCTTTGTACAAGACTAGCACTCAAGCTCTCTACAAGGCTCTCAAGACTTACTCTAGGACTTGTTGTCCACAAAATGAAGTCCTACTTCTATTTATAGGCATCCCCATCCCCAATGGACGGCTAGGATGCATTTTAACCGATGGTGGAGATCGATTCTCTAGAATCTTCTCCCACCTTCTTCACACTTCCATACTTATCCATAAATATCTACAACATTCTAGAACTCTCCATACTACTCCACACAACTCTGGAGAACTCTAGAACCTTCCACACACTTCTACATATTTCTACACATATCTAGAATCTTCCACACAACTCTAGACTACTCTAGAAACTCCACTTGCCATGCAGTTGCCATGCATCATCCTCCTCAGCGTCTGCGTGGCACAACCTCCATAGGCGGGGCGTGACATTCTCCCCCACCCATTTCCGTGACGCCCTCGTCACGGTTTCTTCAGCTGACCCAGCCTCTCGCAGGTCATCAGCACTTGCCCATATGTCCTTGGCCCAAACGTACGAGCGCCCTTCGGGAGATGTGAAGTCCTCACGAGCTCCATCGTGTTGACTGCCACCTCTGGACTCTCCTTCCTGCCCACGAGCGGCACCATGCATGCGGCCTTGCCTTCCTCGCCTCCAAGTATCATCAACGCACCAAGGCATGGTAGTGGCGCGACGTTGTTCCTGTCCATGAACTCCAGCCCCAGCACCATGTCGTGGTCGTCCATCTCCGCAACTTGGAAGTCAGCCTTGCCCTTCCATCCTTGCATGCATAGCTCCACCTCTTTGCACACTCTACTCACGCGTGCCTCCTCGGAGTTGACGGCCTTGATCCAGCCCTCCGTCTTGCGCATCTCCAAGCCAAGTCGTTGCGCCTCCTCCGGGGTAATGAAGTTGTGTGTAGCACCTGTGTCTACCAACGCTTGCACGGCTTTGCCACCAACCTGCGCATCCACATAGCGCACCCCAGCTACCTTCTTTGCCTTGCCCTTCTTCTTGGTGTCATGCGCCATGCTACTCAGCATCTGCATAGCCCCCATGCACCTATCTTCATCGCTGCCCGCATCGTCCACCCTGCCCTTGCCCTTATCCTTCACAAGGGCGCTCATGGTCTTCTTGTTGGGGCAGTGTCGCAATATGTGCGGCCCTTCGCACAAGTAGCACTTCGGCTCCCACTTGCCCTTATCGCGGCGCTCCCCTTTGCCACTAGCCTTAGACCTCTCTCCATGGTCCTTGCCTTTATCATGGCGTGGGCGTCTCTCCTCATCGCTGTGCTCATCATCACTAGACTTGGGCGAGCCCCGTTTCTTGAAGCGCCGGTCTCCCCCACCTTTGCCGTGGTCCCTCCTGGGAGACGTGGCCCTCTTGTCATCGCGCCTAAAGTCTTCGAGGCGCTCTGCTATAGCCATTGCGGATGCCAAGTCTCTAGGCTCCCTCCTCCTTAGCTCCGTGGCCACCCAAGACTGCAGCCCATCAATGAACAAGCACACGCGTTGCCGCTCCGGCATCTCTGGGATCTCCAGCATCAAGTTGGAGTACTCCTTCACATACTCCCTTATGCTGCCCTTCTGCTTCAGGCGCCTTAGGTTGATCATGGCGAGGTCCTCAACGCACTCGGGATAGAACTGCCTCTTGAGCTGCCTCTTGAACTCCTCCCATGTATCAACTGCTCTTGCACCCCTACCGGTGAAGCGCTGTCTCCACCATAGAGCAGCAGTGTCCGTGAGGTACATAGTGCCTGTCTGCACCTTCTCCTCATCATCCTCGATCTCCATGCACTCGAAGTACCGCTCCATGTGCCAGAAGAAGTTGTCAATCTGGCGCGCATTCCTTGCCCCATCGTACTCCTTGGGCTCCGGCGCCTTCTTCTTCCTTGGCTTCACCACGACCTCGCGCGCCTGGGAGAGCTCCTTCTTGCACTCGGCAATCTCCATGCGCAAGTCGTCTACCTGATCATACAAGTCCCTTTCCTTCTCTCGCGTCTTGTTGGCAATGCCGTCAATCAGCTCGTAGAGTTCCGCCATCTTTCTCTCGAGCCTGTTAAATTTGGTCTCCGTGTAGACCAAGTGTGTGGCAAGCTTCTCCTCCAAGCTCTGCTCCAAGACGTGGACTTGGTGGTCTCCTCCGCTAGCCATGTCTACTCCAACAAAGCTCCCTTGACGAACCTGCTCTGATACCAACTGTCACGGGCTTAGAGTTTCAGTACCACTCTAGCTGCTCCCGTGCGGCACCAAGACGTTGCTTCCACTCTCGCAAGTACTTGGTCAGCCTAACTCCCGTGCACACCTTAGCCAACACACTCCCCTCGTGCGCTTACTAGTGTTGTAGTTGCCCTCGCCCTCTCCTCACTCGGCTTGCACACTCACACACACTAAGGCACTTAAGTTGGCAAGGAAAGAACACTTCTATTACTTCAAAGAATGCTTTGTACAAGACTAGCACTCAAGCTCTCTACAAGGCTCTCAAGACTTACTCTAGGACTTGTTGTCCACAAAATGAAGTCCTACCTCTATTTATAGGCATCCCCATCCCCAATGGACGGCTAGGATGCATTTTAACCGATGGTGGAGATCGATTCTCTAGAATCTTCTCCCACCTTCTTCACACTTCCATACTTATCCATAAATATCTACAACATTCTAGAACTCTCCATACTACTCCACACAACTCTGGAGAACTCTAGAACCTTCCACACACTTCTACATATTTCTACACATATCTAGAATCTTCCACACAACTCTAGACTACTCTAGAAACTCCACTTGCCATGCAGTTGCCATGCAGCATCCTCCTCAGCGTCTGCGTGGCACAACCTCCATAGGCGGGGCGTGACAGTACGCTTCTCCTCTCGCCCATTTGAAATGGATACACAGAACAACACTTGATTACCACCTTCCAACACTTGTTCATCGTCCACCTCTCCACCTGCTGCTGCAGGAGGATGGGACTATGAAGTCTTCTTGAGTTTCAGAGGCGAGGATACTCGTAAGGGATTCACTGATCACCTCTACTGCGACCTTCGGGAGAAAGGAATCCACACGTTTAGAGACAACAATGCGCTTCGCCTTGGAGAGAATATTACTGAGATTCTCAACACAATCGACCACTCAAAGGCATGGGAGGTATCGGCAAGACCACTATTGCCAGGGTCATCTACAACTATCTCTCCCAACACAAATTTGAATTTGAATTTGAATCCTGTTGCTTCCTTGCAGACGTTAGAGAAAAAGCTCAATAACACACTGGTCTTGTTGATTTTGCAAAACCAACTTGTATCTAGCATCTTGAAACAGGGACACTCTGTCTTAATTAGGTCTAAGGATGAAGGAATTAATGCAATCAAACATAGATTTTCTGGGAAGAAAGTTCTTGTTGTCGTTGATGATGCCGATCACAGAGATCAGCTTCATGCACTTGCAATTGTGGGAAAATGTGATTGGTTTGGTTCAAGAAGTAGGATAATTGTCGCAACTAGAAACAAAGAGATCCTAAATCTGCCTCAGGTAGATTGTAGGACTTACGAACCAGAGGAATTGGATTCTACTCAATCTCTACTACTTTCAGCAGGTATGCCTTTAGAAGGGACCATCCCCCACAAGACTATGATAATCTCTCTAAAGATGTTGTGTCCACTACTGGAGGGTTGCCTTTGGCTCTTGAGATTATTGGTTCTTTTTTATCTGGCAAGGGAAAAGAGGTATGGGAAGGTACATTTAGAAGTAATACCGAATAAAGATGTGGAGGAGAAGCTGAAAATAAGTTACGATGCATTAGAATATGATCAAAAATATATATTTCTCGATATTGCATGTTTCTTAATCGGAGTGGATAGAAGAATTGCTTTCCACATGTGGGATGACTGCAAATTTTTTCCGAAAAATGGGATTGAAGTTCTTATTAACATGTCCATGATAAAAATTGGAGATAATAATGAGGTACAGATGCATGACCAGCTTAGAGACCTTGGTAGAGATATTGTTCGTAAAGAAGATTTTGAAGAGCGGGGAAAGCGTAATAGGGTGTGGTTTCGTGATGAAGCCATCGACGTATTGAAGAGTCATACAGTAAGATCCAACTCCTTCCTGATGTCGTCCTTGTTACGCATTAATTTTCTTGTCACCTTACTAACACAATTATGTATGAGCTATGAACTACTCAAAAGCAGCCCTTCATACATTCTCTTTCTACTTAATGTCAAGAATCTCCGGCAATTTCTCCCCTCACATGTTTTCAGTTATATCTATCAACTCCTCCTTTCCATATTCTTCTAAACTTGCCATGTTTTTTATATGATCAAGCAGATTAGTTAATTATCTTTTAATTTCTAGGTGAGAAAGTCTTGCATTTTTATAATTAAAAACTTTCAATAAATCTTGCAAAAGGTCGGTTCTATTGTTCTTTAATTTACCATTTTTTTTAATATATAAATACGGTTTTATTTAAAAATGTGAATTAGGATTAGTAAAAATTTCTAAAAGGAAAAAAGAAGGGGTTGGGTAAATTAATTCCAATTTTGTTTTTTATTTATTTATTTATTTAAAAAAGGAGCTCTTGCAATGATAAACAAAATATTACAAAAAAAAAAAAATTTAGTAAATAAATAACCAAGATTTCTAACAAAAATTTGTAATTTTGCATCTCAAGAAGCAAGAACAATATTTAATTTATACATATATATATATACACATGGAGTATATTTTTTAATTTATATAGTTAATTAATATTAGTTATATTATGAATATTCTCTTGTATTGCCTTAACTTCAGCTTACATTGAGCCACTCCTGCTCAATAAGTCGGCCATTAAAAACCTATAGCCTGCAAATACCACTTATGGTTGTACCCAAAACATTATTTTCTAGGGCATTAATTATTGAGTATCCTGATATAGGTTTCATCTCATTATTAATGTTAAATTTCATTCCCCCTAATTATAAACTTATCTAAATGTTCTCTTTTTTGCAGGGAACAGCGAAGGTTAAAGCTCTCAAAATCTCACAGGTTGAGGACTTTGAATTAGAGTCACAGGTTAAAGCTCTGTGTCTTACAAATGAAGAATTTGCAAACCTATCTAATCTAAGGTTCCTTCAAATGGACTTTGCAAAGCTGGATGGAGATTTTAAGGGTCTTCTTTTAAATTTGAGATGGCTTGCCTGGAAAGGATGCCCTGAAATTTTTAGCCCAACCAATTTTCATCTAAAGAATCTGGTCAGTCTTGATTTATCACAGAGCAAGGTCACAGAAGACTGGGAGGGTTGGAATTATACCAAGGTTTCATCAATTTCTCTGCTTTTGTTCCGTGTATCTCATCACATAATTCTCTGTAATTAATTCTAAGCAATTCTCTTGTTCCTTATTTTGCAGATTGCAACGAAGTTGAAAGTTCTAGATCTCACAGGTTCCAAAAATATGGTTAGGACTCCCGACTTCTCTTCATATGCAACTTTAGAAAGATTGATTCTTTAAGACTGTTGCAATTTGGTTGATATTGACCCATCAATTGGGCATCTCAAGAGTCTAGTTTTCTTAAATTTGAAGAATTGTCATAAACTCAACAGGCTGGCTCTCGAATTTGATAAAGTGGGAGCTTTAACGGAGTTCCTAATCGATGGTACTTCTATGAAAGAAGTCCCTATTGGTAGAGGTGTTATGAAGAAGCTTGAAACTCTCAGAGCCACTTATTGTCAGTCATTGACTCAAATTTCGACCTCAGTCGGTCACCTAACATCTTTGTTGGACCTTAAATTGGGTGGTCTACCCCGTAATATTGATGGTTTATTTGGTATAGACTCGTTCGGTTCGCTAGTGAAATTGCGACGCTTGTCACTAAAGGGCTGCAAATTAAAAGAGCTTCCAGACTCTATTGGGAAATTAGAATCATTAATTGAGCTGGACTTGTCATTGACACGCATTACAGAATTGCCAGAAACTATTGGCAACCTAAATCGTTTGAGAATTCTTAAGATGGAATCTGGTTTGATAGTGAAGTTACCTAGTACCATCGGAACGTTACTGAAACTTGAAGAGTTACACGCCTCGTGTTGCAGGTTGAGAGGCGAAATTCCCAATAATTTTGGGGGACTATCCTCTCTGAGAATCTTAAGATTAGATTCAACAGATATCTGTGGTCTACCAACAAGCATTTGTGGGCTTTCTCACCTCCAAACCCTTCATTTAAGGCGTTGCAGAAACCTCGAGTTTGTCCCAGACCACCTTCCCTCTAGTCTAGTAAGTCTAGCAGTCACTTGCAGGTCAATGGCGACATTTCTAAACCTTCCTAGCCTGGTGAACCTAAAGGAGTTGGAAATTATTGACTGTTATAAGCTGTTGAAAATTCCTGAAGGTATTAATGAGTCCCTTTCTCGGCTTACGTCTCTCAAAGTAAATTGTTGTGTACAACTCCAATGCCTTCCAGCTCTTCCCTCAATTCTTACATCTCTCAATGTATGTGAGTGTGAACAACTTCAATGCCTTCCAGCTCTTCCCTCAAGTCTTGCGTCTCTCATTGTAGAAAATTGTGAACAAATTCAATACCTTCCAGCTCTTCCCTCAAGTCTTACGTCTCTCTATGTACATAATTGTAAACAACTTCAATGCCTTCCAGCTCTTCCTTGCCTTGGAAGATTACAACTCCTAACAGAATTACATTTAGATGGGTGTGAATCACTAGAAACAAAACCCGATCTTTCCAACTTTAAGAAGGTAAGGAAATTAAGTATTACAGGTTGCAAGAATCCGAATGAAATTACGGGCCTTGATAGATTGGAATCCTTGAAAGTTTTGAATATGAGTAGTTGCACATCCTTGGAAAGATTGCCTGATCTATCCAAATTGGAAAAGCTGGAAGGATTAAATCTGCGTTGCTGCGAGAAGATACATAAGATTGAGGGTCTTGAGGCTTTGACATCCTTGAAGAACCTGAATTTGTCATGGTGCATAGCCTTGGAGAAGGCACCTGATCTGTCAAGACTAACAAATTTAGAGGAATTGCAACTTTGCAATTGTGAGAAACTTAGTGAGATTTGTGGACTTGGGGAACTCGAACTCCTAACAAAGTTGAACTTGTCATCCTGCACGGCCTTGGAGAGGGTACCTGATTTGTCCAAACTAACAATGTTAAGGACATTTTGTCTTCGTAACTGTAAGAAACTTTCTGAGATTGAGGGTCTTGAGGCTTTGAAATCCTTGAAGAAGCTGGATTTGTCATCGTGCATAGCCTTGGAGAAGGCACCTGATCTGTCAAGACTAACAAATTTAGAGGAACTGCAACTTCACAATTGTGGGAAACTTAGTGAGATTGGTGGACTTAGGGAACTCGAACTCCTAACAGAGTTGGACTTGTCATTATGCACGGCCTCGGAGAGGATACTTGCTTTGTTCAAACTAACAATGTTAAGGACATTACGTCTTCGTAACTTGAAAAACTTTCCGAGATTTGGGGACTTTAGGAACTGAAACTCCTAAAATTGTTGAACACGAATGGATGCAAGTCACTAGGAAAATTACCAGACCTAAGTCACATAAGGCGGGCTAGAATTTGAGCGGAGCATAAGAGCAATACTTATTGAGAAGGAGGTCACTAGGAAAATTGCAGGATGTCACGGTAATTATCTATTTTTTGCTAATCTATTTTGTCTTCGTATGATGGTTTTTTCCCCCTTAATTGATTGGAACTGTGATTGTTTCTCTGTTCTTTCTTTGTGTGTTTTCTTCAGTTAGGGCGTAGTCACTCTCTCTCTCTCTCTCTCCTCCCCATCATTTCACCGTTCTCAAGAACTCTTCCACTTCGAGGTGATTTCGAGACAATGGTATTTAATTTAGACTTATCAACTACTAATGTGCAGAACATTTGATATCTATAGTGTTAGAATATTATATATTCTATTCAATTTTAGATATATGTTAATAATAGTTATATATACCAAACAAGTCCTCAATTGTGGTTTGAGAGCTGGGAAGGACCAATGCTTCAATTTCTCCTTCTATAGAAAAAACACTCTGTGGTAAGGTTTAATGTCTTCATAAATACTAGGAGATTCATTGTACAACTTAATTAAATCACATTGTTTGAACCATATTTTGAAATTTGATGGCTAAAAAAAAAAAAAAAAAAAAAACTCAAAAGAAAAGCTCATATTTGATGAGATGGTTAATCTTTTATTGGCTTGTCAAGTAAATTTTTTTTTCATATGAGCTGCATTTATTTTGCTAGAGCACAAGCGCCCTTTTTTGCTGCTAACTGGAGCTCAAATATTGCTTCTATATTAAGCCTTTTGGGACTGATTTGGTTTCTAATATAATTCAGGTACTTGATAATCTCTCTCTCTCTCTCTCTCTCTCTCTCAACATGTGAAGTCTCAAACTGGAATCGGCACAATATTGCGATTTTTATCATTGAGGACTGAGTTGTGTCATTTCGATAAAAGTCTCAAACTGGAATCGGCACAATATCTCGAAGTGGCAGCCCTTACTCAATTTGGGTGAGATTGATCATAGATCTCTAAATGAATGCTTGTTTTCATTTCCTAATGGCTATGCTATGGTTGAGTGGTATTTTTGGTTGCTTAACCAATTTTAATTTCGATTCCTAGATTCGGTTGCTGTTACTACTGTCTTGATTGTTGAAGCTGTGAGGGTTGGGTGTTGCCTGTCCACTCTGTGTTGGTGTCATTTGACTTGTCCTGTTCTTCACTTGGATGGTGCTCTTTAGTTAATTGCCTTTTGTGTTGTTACCGGATGATGTTGTTGCTCTTCATTTGTATTCTGCTAATTTAGCAGATCTGATGTATACTATACTATTGTGCTACTACTACACAGTTGTATATATATCGACTGAAATTATACAAAATAGTTGTCATTGTTCATGTCAAATGGAGTTCTTTCAATAATTTATTCAATGCATGTGCAACTTTAAATTCTTATACTGTTTTTCTTGTCAAATTCCAATTTTCAGGTGTTAATTCTATTATTATTATTATTATTATTATTACTTTTTTTTTAAAATAAAAAATGGATGTACATTTTTTTTTTTTTTTTTTTTACTGTTATCAAATATTTTTTTATATTCTTGTTTTAAAAAATTCATATTACAAATTCTACATTACTAAACTAGTTTTCAATCTCACATATTTGACTTATTTGTTTACACTTGATTTGTCCCCATTATTATTTAAGGAATTCAAATTTTCCTTTTTTTTTAAAAAAATTTTTGAATTGTTTTGTTAATATAAATCCAAAATTAAAAGGAGATAAATAAATAAAAAAGGCGCTAGAAAAAGTCGACAGTTTTCAGTTGCTCCAAGAAAATTATTAGGGCTGATTAATTGGAACGTAAATTCGGCGATCGTTGATGAAGTCCACAAATGGGGATAAAGGATCGGAGATGGGAACCGTTGGAAGCATCAATCACAGCTGTTGCAAGTCAACGGTGGATCATCTGAAGAGGCAAATTCATCAGCACCCTTGCTGCATCAAATACGATGGACCTTCCTTCCTCTGTTTCTCACTGCTTCATGCGCAAACTGTTTTGACACCCATTTTGGTAATTGGGCTTGGGCTACAATAGGGCTTAAAGTTTAGTGATGTGGCAGAGATTTGGGTTGCAAGAAGAGATTGGGCTAAAGATATATTTGAGTTGGGTTGAAGAATATCATCATTCGACATGGATCATAGACTTGAACTACAAGTGGGATAGCGATTTTACAATTTAATCTGCATGGATTATGTTTGGATAACTGGTAGTAACAAATAGATAGAAGTATTTAGTTGCATAAGGATGCTTGTAGATAGGATTAGTCTGATTTGAATTTACATTTTAGTTATGTGATAGAGTTGTAAAGTAATTCGGATACCTGTTTATACGTATTTGTTTTACTAATAATTTCTATAAATAAACAAAGGGGCATGCTGAAATCAAGGTCCAGCACCCTCAGAATCATTATATTTATTTGTTTGTTTTCTCAAGCCTTTCCCAGAATAGCATCCTTACTATTTTTTTTTTCTCTATCCCTCTCTCTCTCAATCTTTCTATTTATATTTCTTTCTATATCTATTTCTCTCCCTTTCTATTATCAAAACGTTACTATAATTATTCACTGATAAAGTCCTTTTAATTAAGGTAATTCTTGAACTCAAAGAGGAGTTTTACTGTTCTCTTTATCCTCGCATCGTCTGAAAGTCAACCTTCCCAAAGAGACTAAAGTTGACTATTTAACTTCGAACCATATAATTGGTTCTGGCACCCTCGCACTACATCAATTTAAGATCGACTCTAGCCAGCTAATTTTAGCGTCAACATTCTTGGCACACCCGGTAGGACTCCACTAGGTGAGTAAAATTATAGTAACTATGCCTCCCAGGCTAAGAAATTCGAAAGGTGTGGTTACAGGTGATAACACTGATGAAGAGAACTAGCAAATCGGCATAGGCGATGAAGCCGATTCATCTGTTCCATCTGACGTTCCTTTGGGTATTAGAATCAATCATGCAGAAAATGGATGTCCAACAAGTCCACATCGGCAAGGTAAGGTCCCAAATGGGAGAGTCAAATCAATTTTTGGTTTCTCAAATACATGAGATGAGGTCAATTACCGGGGAGTTAAATCAAACGATGTTTTCTCAAATGGAGAAGATGAATCAGAAACTTGAAACTAGTATATCGGTTAATCAAAGCCGACATGATCAAGCTGAAGCATCCCACGCCAATGAATCCATATTTTAGCGTATTTCGGCACCATTGATACATATATCCCAGGGGCCTCAAACAGCATCAACAGGCATCATACCTCGGCATCACAATCGACAATGTGCCGAACCTTACTCTCGGCATGCAGATTGGTAATCCACCGATATTATCAGATCCACCGGCGATAACTACTATGCCGGTGTATCAGCCACCAGTAAATCATCAATAGAATCAAAATGTGCAACGCCCATATATGCAGCCGATTCTTCCTTTAAGAGATCAGAAAGATTTGGGCAACCAGAACCAAGGTAGAGTTAATCCATTGGTACCTTCGGCAGCTGCCCCGAGGGGGGGGGTATGTAAATGCAAATCCACAACGAGAATGGGTTAACTCATTTGTTCCACTTCACCCAAATGATCCTCCAGACCAAAACGCGGGGATCGGTAGGGCTCAGATTTTGGCTTTAATATAGGCTGAGGTAGCACAGGGACGCAGACATGCTCGACCAGTATACAGAAAACCTTATCCTGATCATGTCGATGCCTATGAGCTACCCAGAAATTATCGGTATCCTAATTTTTCTCTGTACAATGGTGAAAAGATCTTTCTATGGTGCAGCACTTTGCGAGGTTCACAGCACAATGTGGTAAAGCAGGTTTAAATCCTTAGTTGAGGATGAGGTTATTCTCTAGCTCTCTTGTTGGGGCAGCATTTGAATGGTATAGTAATTTACCAGCCAATTCTATTCAGACATGGGATGAAATGGAAGAAGCTTTCCATACTCAATTCTACCGAATAGAGACAGAATCTACGCTGGCTGACATATCCCGATTATCTCAGTTGTCGAGCGAATCGGTTGAAACTTTTGTGGCCAGGTTCAGAAAAGGTAAACTCAAATGCTGAGTAAGTTTGCCAGAACCAGAATATATTAAGTTGGCATTAAATGGTTTAGACATTGAACATCTTAATAAGTTTGATGGGGTTGAATTTCAAGATCTCTTCGACTTAGCAGACAGAGCCACTCGGTGTGAGGAAATACTTAAAGAAGAGAAAGAAAGGAAAAATTCTTCTGAGGGTACTTACTACAAGGACCCTAATTATGAGGTGTTCTCGGCAGAAGTTGGTGATGAATTAGAAGTTGACGTTGCTGAGGTCAATATCAAGAAGCCATACATCTGTGAGACATTGATCAAACCTAAGCTGACCACGGGGGGCAATGCGAAACATCAATTGCTGTTGAAGATGGTGAACCGCTTGTCGGCCGGTGGTTGGAAGGTGTGGAAGTGGAGTCATGGCTGAAGCTTTCGGGTCTTGGGGGCGGTGGTGACTATTGTGTGGTTGTGTGTGTGTGTGTGTGTGTGTATATATATGTATATATGAAAATGGTAATTTGGTTATTTAAGTATTTTGATATTTTATAATTAAAATTAATAAAATAGTGAAGGGTAAAATGGACCATTTCCTTGTTTTAAGGCTCTGTTTAGATGGCAAATTTCATAAGAGGTGTGGTTGTCTAAAAATAGACAAGCTTTCATCTCCTTAACCTTACCCCAAACCTCAGGAGGTGTCTTGTATTATACCCTATTTTTTATTAGACACTGTTGAGGTCGAAATTCGCCGCGGCCTGGTACGACACCGTTTCCTGCAAAACAAAGACGGCAAAGTCAAACACCGGTGTGGTGCCGGCCGTTGACCCTCTGACGATCAAGTTAGTAGGGGTTTCTAGAGAAAGAATTTCAATCGTAATTTCCCCAGTAAGAGTTTTTTTTGTGTGTCCCTTATTCCTGAGTCATCGTCCTATTTATCATTGCTTCCCTTATTCTCGATAAGGGAATTTCATCATCCTTATCCCATGTAACTTATCCCATGGAAGTCTCATCCTTGATAAGATTTGTCATCATCCCCATGAAAATCTTATCTTAGATAAGATTAGTCATCATTCTTATCCATGGAAATCGTTACCCCTAATAACGCAATATTATCGTTTGATCACTGAGTAGATCTGGCGGCTGGTTAACACTTAGTTGCCTCTATCGCTAGGTCAAGGTAGGCTATATTTATTTTTCCTTATCAGTTGCCCCCTATTTCCGCGTACGTTTTAGACCAAGGAAATAGTACCTAATATATACATACTTTCCTATATCTTATTTATTTCCTTTTTACTACAAGCCCCCTTCCAAAGTTTAGTAGGACTCTTTTTCAAGAGAAGTCTATTGTTACCTAAAACATAATTTTTCTGTTTACCTCTCTTATTTTTTCTCTTTCCTTGTTGTCTGAAATCCTTTAAACTGGATCCTATCTCTGAATTTCTTGTGGATTGTGGTAGTTATTGTTGTTTTCACTTGGATCCTTCTAAATCTCAGTCTGTGAGATACATAACTGGGTCCAGTCGTCTCTGTCAAGTTGTTGGTGTAATTCCAAAGTGGTTTCGCTATTTTCTCGATATCCAAAATCTCATCATGTCTATGCATGAAAATAACTTGAATGTTGAATCTCGGTCTCAAGACTCAACTTCTGAGAGTGTTGAAGAACTTGATCCTAACTATGCTGGTGAATCTAGTGTTGATTACTCCTCAAGACCAAGGACTGCTTTTTCCAAGCAACCTCCACGCGAAGGAGAATCCTTTAATTAAGGAGGAAAATTTACGTAATTGTAGACTTAAATATTCCATTCCTTCA